ATTTATCTATATATATATATATGCTCTATATATATATATATATATATATATATATATATATATATATATATATATATATATATATATATATATATATATATAAAATAGTTTGTGTAGGGTTATAAAAACCAATGATAGAGTGCTCAATGGATAACCAGAGCATAATAGAAAGACACAAAAACTTAGCAAGCTTTGTTTGGCATATTTATTACTATACAGTTTCGTACCACGTAAATAACGTGGCACTCGTCAGATAAAATAGCCTATTTTATCTGAAGAGTGCCACGTTATTTACGTGGTACGAAACTGTATAGTAATAAATATGCCAAACAAAGCTTGCTAAGTTTTTGTGTCTTTCTATATATATATATATATATATATATATATATATATATATATATATATATATATATATATATATATATATATATATATATATATATATATATTATAAAGTTAAGTTAATGGGCAATGCTCTCCACAAATAGTCTAATTTATATGACAGTCGATTTGAATATTTTGCGTGCGGTACAAAGGTCACAGACCCACAACTATCATTTGTACTAAAATAGCAAAGGTCATCTACCCACCCACCAACCAACCCACCCACCCTCCCACCCACTTGTCCAAAGGGAATACAGAAAACTTCACCCCCATAACACATTCTGCCACACACAAGCTGTCTGTGCATGTCTACTCTTAATTCTTAGCTCAGTTAGCTGGCTGGAGAGCAATTGTTCCATTAACAGAAAAGGCAACTTGCGCCCCCGTGCAACTTGCGCTCATTGAACTAAATGATTGTTAGGAAAACCTGTGGCATAAAATTAATATGGTTTAAGGATCGAGGTTAAAACAAGGATTTACATTGTTGAGAAGAGTTCTAGGATTCGATTTGAAATAACCGTTGTCCCAGCTTGAAATGTCGCCACTTTATATACGAGACTAAACTTATGAACGTCGTCGTTCCAGCGTCCTTCTTGCTTATTAAACTAGTTGCTATGGGGGCGGCCGATCGGAACGCAGTTAACGTTAACTGCAATTAAAAAGTATTAATTAACTTTAATCATGTAGTTAAGCTGGTTGTATAGAAGTATATAGTTAGCAGCAGTTAAAAAGTAGTTAAAGTTAACTAAGCTTTAGGATATAGTTAACTCTCCAAAACGCAGTTAAAAATTGGGTTTGTATAGAAGTGAACAACATTTTTCAGGAAAACAATAATGAAAAGCAACGCTCACCTTGGATGTTCAATCGCTATCTTCCCTGAGAATGTTTTCTGACAATATAAACTCTTCAAACACTATCGCTTTGGTGTTTTACGAAAACAGAATATATTTTTGCGCAGGAACACCAAGAAACCGAACACCTTGCAAGTAACACTGATATATAATTGCCTGCAAATAGCTACACTTTCGTTTAACGTAGACACATCACACGGAAAACTGCCTTCTTTTATATTTTTGCGTCCGTTATTCCTTGTTTTCTTGTTTATTTTTTACTGTTTGAAATAAAATTCCCGCTTATTTGCAAAATGCGAGTTCACAATCATGTTGAAAATGCTGCATGTGAGCGGTCGTTATAATTTATATGTAATTTTGCGTTTAATTAAACGCTCCACGAAACCACGCACAGCACAGTTAACTACGTGATTAGTTAACTATCCGACTAACTACGCTTTGTGCTATACGCAGTTAAGTCATGTTGTTAACTAGCTAACTACATGCATAATAATAAAATAGACGTTCTCTGACCAAAAATATGTATTTATTACAAGCTTTCGGCTACCAATTTGTAGCCTTCAACGGGTATATGAGTGTATGAAATATGAAACTATAGTATACTATTGTATATACAGAAAGATTAGCATAATTTACGCAATTATGCTAATCTTTCTGTATATACAATAATAGACTATAGTTTCATATTTCATACACTCATACCCGTTGAAGGCTACAGATTGGTAGCCGAAAGCTTGTAATAAATATATATTTTTGGTCAGAGAACGTATATTTTATTATTATTTTTCATCCTAGCCGCGCATCTGCCTCTATTTTTTAACTACATGCAGTTAAGGATTTAACTGCGGTACTTAACGCTAACTGCAGTTAACTTTAAGTACTTTTTATACAACCGGCTCCGGAAGTTTACAGTTTTTGAAGCGTAAAATTTAAGAAAACATATTTTCGTCATCAAAAATTTAAAATCTTCAAAAACATTGCGTTTTCCGTTTCCTATATATATCATCTTGTCTATTATATTAATTTCATTTACAGTTTTTGAAACGTAACATTTAAGAAAACATGTTTTCGTCATCAAAAATTAAAAAATATTCAAAAACATTGCGTTTTCCGTTTCCTATATACATCATCCTGTCTATTATATTAATTTCATATATGCTGTTAATTAAAATCTCAACATCCCAAGCCTTACAACGACATACATGATAATGGTCATTACAAAAAACACCATTTGCCTGCTCAAAAAATAAACAGTTATTGAATTCGGTTTTTTCGAAGGCGAAATTACATTCACTGAGACCACAGAGACCCAGGCTCGATTTGCCCGCGCCCGCCTGTGCCTTCCTTATAACGAGGGAAAGACGGAGACATTGAGACCAAAATAGCCCAGACTTGGCATATTAGGCCGTGGGATGAGCATCCAAAAGATGCAATTCCGTTGCACCCCTCGTGGAACTACGTAATTTTCACATGAATAAATAGATAAAAACTTACTTTATCAGAATCCGTTGCTCCCCAAGCGAAACAGGTGCACAATTGGGAGAAAAATCTCTCCAAAGTTTGATATTTTCCCGCTTCGAAATATTCGAACCGCCATTGTTTTGGTAGCAAATACGCATGCGCAACTCAGCCTAACTCCCACTGCGCACGCGCAGACTATAAAAATAGATTCTCATTGTGGGGTTTCCCCGATTTCTTCCGCAAAAACAACAAAATAAAATCACAGAATACTGATCAAACCGTGTAAAATAAATACACCCACATTAAATATTGTTTAAAACGCATTGTATATTTTGCTTGCTCATATGCTAAATCACTTCAATTCATTGGCTATTGTTTCAAAATACCGTTTTAACGTTTAATTCTACTTTATATTAACATCCTAATTCAATACAAATTTGTGCGAGGTAAAAAACCCACCTGTATCAAACAGGACGGAGAATATATAAATATATACATACAATTCACACGATCAAGGAACAAATGAAATATTTCGCTAAACTAAAGCCTTGGCCAAACGTAAGAAACAATGTAGCGGAAATATTCGTGATTTTGAATTGGCTTTTATTGCAGAAGCAAAATTTGCTTCACAAAATTTCCTACCAAATTCAGAAGCATTTGATGAAACACTCTTTATCCGTTTGCCGACGCTGATAAGACAATATGACATACCGAAAGAATGGAAAGACAAATAATATGACAACAGTGTTTCCCAGTTCGTCCCCGGCTTTAAGGGATGTTTATATAAACTCCTAGGAAAACCTCTGATTGTATCTTTAATGTATTATTGAATAACTATGCAAGATGTTTGGCGCTTCTTAAACTGTGCGTTCCACCATCGTTTAGTATACTCTATGGATACCAA